CCCTGGCCATCAATTTGGATACACTGCAGTGGCTATTCCGACATTCTCATGCTGCCTGCAACCCATTTCATAAACGAAAATGTTCATGTACCTCTTCTATGAGCCATTTTAAGCGGCAGAGATTGGAGCCAGATTAATTGAATGGCTGAGCAGTGACCGATGCTCAGGACCAACTGTAAACGGGTCGACAATGGCAGGGCCTTGGTCAAGGTTTCTATGTTACCATATAATGAGCCTAAAGGGCTGACGCTGCTGAGCGTCGAACTTACTAGCTAGAGGTTGCCGGCTCAACTCCAGTAGAAATTAATAATTCTCATGAATTTTGATTTAATTTCTTATTATAATTTTGTATTAATATTTTTTTGGCAGGGTCCAGTCAGTCGATTGAATAGCAAAGTTTTCTGAGTGTTGCAAGACAGAATTCTTTTATTGAAATAAAAAAAAAAATGTTTTTCAATGAATTCAAACAGAGAAGCTTTCCTTTGTGCAATTGGAGACAATTTATTTGAGGGAAACTCAATATGAGCAACAATAGGAGAAATGATTTTAACTAGCATTTGCAAAGTTTGTTGATTGGTCCGCAACAGGAACAATGGGGGTGGGATCTCAGTGGACATGACTGTTTTGATGTTTACAATTCAATTTTGTAATGAATTGTAAAATAATAGGTTGCATGGGGTAAATGCGTAGACGCGTGATGGCCATTAGAGCGGATTAGTACATTTAAAAAGTTTGCGCAAATTGAACAAACAATTTCGGTATAATTGGATTTTCAACATTAATAATTTAAACCAGTAATTTGTGCAATATATGCTTCATATAAAACTGCGAAAATATAATCGTTATTTGTATTTAATTTATACTTTTTATAAGAAAAAATTGATATCGTTGCACGGGGGGCTGAGGGGGACACGCATTTGCAAAGATACGGGCTGAAAAAATTTGCCTGCCCAACCAAAACGAATGCTATCATATGAATATAGTATTTTTTAATTTACATTTGCACGCAAGAAGAGTTTTGCAAGCTTAAAGAAAACAAAATTGTAATATTTGTATCCGCTAGTCAGTCTGAAATGCAGGCAGCTGCAGTTGCTGTTCAATATTTGACAAGAGGATAACTTTGCCATGCTGCCAAGTCAAAATGCATATGTCAACATTTCTTTAATTTACTTAATTTGTTGTTAGCTTAGCTAACTCTTAAAATAAACAAATCAGTTCTTCCATCTGCTAAGCATTTCACAAGCAGATAGATGCCATCTTACGCGTACAGAATTTTAACGTCTAATTGACAGGAAGATGGGAAAACACAAGCAAATCAAATAGCATGTCAAAATAGCTGTCAACTTGTTACCTCAAAGAAAATTTCTTGAGAAAACGCACCTTAACTGAATATTTAATATATCATTTGATTCTTTATTTCTATTGCTACTATTATTATTATTTCTTTATAAAAAGCCTCGACTATTTTGGCCATCAGCTAAGATAATACTATATCGAGTCACTTGCCTGGCACTCAAGCCCGGATCCTTCTTGTTCAGTTGCCCGAATAACTGGGTCACTCTGACATCAATTGATATCTCAAATGTTTTCTGTGTATGAAAGGGTATTTAAGCTCTGACATCAATTGAGATTTTAAATGCTTTCTTTGTTTTTGTATGAAAGGGTATTTAAGCTTCATTGCGCCGCGGTTGTCCGTTCATTTAAGTGGCCTGCAGTGAAATGAATTTTAAATATTAAAAGGGCCATGCGATGCGTCGCTTAAGCAGGCATTAAGTTAATAAAACTCCCAGGACACGCCCACTGCAGGCTGCACCGAGAGCGAGTGTTGAAATTATAACTTAATTATGCAACTGGCAGGAAACTAGGCGGCCACACAATGAATGAGAAGATTTCTCTGTCTATGTGAGTGCGTGAGTGTAGGTGTGTGTGTGTGGGTATAGGTGTGTGTGTGGGTGTAGGTGTGTGTGAGCGGGTGTGTGCTCCTTTGTTATTAGCGCTATATCTAGAAGAAGCGGATCATAAAGTCTGCTTAAGTTCTGATCCTTCTGTGATGAAGTCTGAGCTGTGGCATGAGTCAAGTCAGAAATCAGAGTTAATGCCAACACTTGGAGCATATCACACACATACACACACACACACACACAGACACATTCAGCTGGCAATCCGTTCACAGGCTGTCAGAAGCTCTTAAGATAGACAAAGAACTGAAATTCGGCAACACACCAAACACACAGGACACTGACAGGCAAAACATCCTGGCAAAATGGCCAAATGGCAACAGGCGGCCGAGCAGAGCGATGGGAGACAGAGAGCGAGAGCGAGAAAGAGGGAGAGGGAGAGAGAGTTGAGCAACAGGGAAACAGCAAAAACGGATTTGAAGTGACAGATTGATGTAGATGCGAGGCGATGCTAGGCATCGTCTAGATACGAAGATGCGAAGATGTGAAGATGAATGTAGTGGCAGATAGATGGCTTACACTCAGAGTGCGGTGGCGGGATAGGTGGTGCGGAATGGGGTGGATGACACGGACACGAGCACACAGAGCGCATAAATGTCAGGCAATGAAAATGTTTGCCCAGCTAGCCGTGCTTTGTGTTGGAGCCGTTAACAAAATGTTGGCTCCCATTCCGGTTGTACATGTCCTTGATGTTATACCTTGTTAGCTGTTGTGTAGGTTTTTGGGCATCAACTTACCACCCCCACCCCATTCCCAGTCGTACCCCTCGAAAACGTATCCAAATGCCAAACGAAGCGTGCGAGGCACATGAGCAGTCCTTACTCCTTTTGCCGGACGCGCCTCCAGCTCCTGCCGCTCCTCCCGGTGTTAGCTTCCTGCTGTTGTGTGTGGCATTCCAGAAACGAAAACATATTTTCCATATGAGCGCACAAAGCGTTGCCAGACGCACAACAACAACAACTGCGACAACAACGATACGGCTTAGTCGAAGCCGGCTCACATATGTATCTCACCCGGTAAGCCCAATGTTGCCTGTTGGGTATTTCGCAGTTGCTCTCCCTTTGCCCCCCTTTTTTTTGTGTTAATCCTTTTCGAAATTTTTAGTTTGATTGTTGGGAAAATATTTTAAGCTCCAGGCACAAACACTGTACGACGCGTGCATTAGCATAACGCTAGGGACTCGGAAATGGAGCACGAGCGAACCGCAAGAATTTGTGTAGTTGGCGGCGGGGGAGTTAACTTAATCTTAAAGGTGTGACTCGAATTTAAAACCAGGGAAACTTGTACAGTATTGGGTCTTGCGAAACGGCTTGGAAGAGATTGCTTTGCATATGAAAATCAAAAGGATTTAAAGATAACTAGATTCTGTAAGTGGGCTGGCAAATAAGCATCAAATAATTTCCGCACATTCCGTCTGCGAAAAGCATTTTCATTTCTTATCTCTACTGACAAGAAAAGGCCCTTAAAATCACTTCTACATGAAGTTTAAAGATGTATATTTAAAAAAATAAAACAGACTTTTTTTGCAGCTTCCATATATCATACACATAGGTTCCACTTCATGCTCATGCGTTCCACTTCCACCAAACAGGCATTTATCGATTTCACTTCCACCTCACTGAGTGAAACGTTGATTGGTTCATTTAAGCTGCTTGTCATTTGCGCTTCACATCTGCTCAGAAAAGGTCTCTGTTAATTTCGATGGCTTAAAACATAAAATACAAATCCACATTCATCGATTCTAATTCCACGTCAATAAGTGAAACATTATTCGGCTCACTTAACTGCTTGTCATTGGCTATCCACCTATGCTAATTTCATCCACTTAAAATATAAAATACAATAAAACGAGACACAAAAAATGTCATTTAATGACATTGATTGGCTGTTTCATTCAGCATTGCAAACAATTAAATTTGAGAGAACCTTACAGCCGCCATTTGTGCTGTCTCAGCAGCCAATATATGTGAGCTACGTACCCTGCCTTGTCCCGCCGGCAACAGCAGCAGCAGCAGCGATAGCGGTCGCGGCAGAACTCGTTACTGTCACGCCCTGTTGCCGCTCGGACATGACGAAGGTTGACATTGCGCCTGCATTTATTAAAACAACTGCCAGCAGGACGTGAAGCGTAAACAAAAAGGAGGAGACGCGGCGACTAGCCCCCCTCTTGGCATTTTGCATTCCGCTTGTTCCGCTCATTCCACTGGTTTGGCTTATTCCACTTGTTCAATGCGCCTTTTAAGCACAGTATAAAATCCGTCAGTCTGATCAATTCTTTAACATACCCAAAACTCATTAAGAGTAGGTAAAAAGTTATGATAGTTTTGTGCAATTGTATGTAGGAGGCACAAGTCAAGTCCGTCTGTTCGCCTGTGTCTGTCCATCCACCTGTCCGACTGTGTATCCGTCCGGCTATCCGTCTATATAAACGCTTTGATCTCTGAAACCCCCCAACTCTAAGCTAAAGACTTGAAATTTGAATATATGTTTTCGTATATCATACACAGAACCAGTTTCTCATTTCTTTTCGATACTTGCCCCATCTCCGTAATATCGATAAATATCGATTTTGAGATTTGGGCTTATAAAAAAAAAATTTTAAAAAATTTTAAAAGTATTTAGGTGGGGGTATAATATGCACAGATTCACAATATTTTCCTTTTATATAACTCCTCTACTTCTTCCGCAAAATAGAAACAAGCTCATTTGATACGGGAAACTCCTTGTGCTTGGCACATACACGCATTTCGGTGCCATGCAAATTTCTTTAAGATCGGACAATAACCACCGCATAGTGTGGAACTTAAGGAAGAAAAAACACAGCCGCTGCGTAAAGTACGTAGCATTGGGCAAGCGTGTACGAATGAAGCTATAATGTTTGTAAGGACAGCTCGGCGCAAGGTTTCTTGTCGGGAGCTCCCGACTATAGTATTCTTAACTGTTTTTATTATTGTTTAAATTAAAAAATAAATTGAAAATAACAGAGCGACTCTTAGGCCTGCAGACTAAACTCATAAATTGTTGTTGGTTCTGTATTTGCAGTTTATTGGCAACAATAATGGTCAGCACAACATTGACAACATTGGCTGCTGGACAAACAACTAGTAGCAGTAATCATCATCACCATCATCATCACCACCAGCAGCAGCAGCAGCAGCAGCAACAGCAGCAGCAGCAGCAGCAGCATCCACTGCCTCACCACAGCACAGTCAGTGGCAGTAACGGGAGCAGCAACAGCAGCTACCAGCGCCTACAATCATCCGCAGCAGCAGCAACAGCTGCAGCAGCCGCTCAGCAGCGCAATTACTACGCACTCAACGGTCTGGAACACGACTGCGACAGCAGCAATTCCCATAGCAACAGCGGCTACCAGCAGCAGCAGCAGCCACTGAATTTATCGCAAGCGCTGCTCTCGCCTTCACCACCTCTCAACGATCAGATTAATCTGCTCTTTCCCAAGTGCCGGCCCAAGCATCAGCAGCAGCAGCAACCGCAGCAGCAGCAGCAACAGCAACAGCCGTCGCCCAGCAGCAACAGCAGCCGACAGCAGCATGAAAGCATTGCCGATGTGAATCTGAACAGCAGCATCACAGCAGCAGCAGCAGCAGCGGCAGTAGCAGCAGTTGGTGTCTCAGAGACAACTGGGAGCAGCTCACCCATTGTCACGCCCATCAGCACGCCCAGCTATTATAAAAGCGTCAACATTATAACGCAATCACCGCCGCCGCATTCAGCCTCGTCGCACTCCTCGGAATCGTTGTCTTCGGTCACGCCGCGCATATCCACAAATCCATTTCTGTGCGCGCCGCTGACACCACCAACACCACCAACGCCTCCACACAGCGCCAGAGCAGCTGTTGCAGCGGAAGGCGATACGGACGTGGAAGCAATTCTGTTGGCAGAGGACGACGGCTTGCAGCAAGAGCAGCAGGAGCTAATCGAGGAGTCGGTGCCCCAGACGGCATATCCAGCATCCTTCTACTATCACACGGGCGATATCAGGCGTGGCCACAGCTACACGGATATGCCGCGCAAACGCAACAGCGCCATATCAGCGGGCAGGCAGCAACACCAGCAGCAGCAGCAGCAACATCACACGCTGCTTAACGGCAACAGCAGCAACAACATTGGCAACGGCAGTGCCCAACACAGCCAGAATCCTTTCATTAAGGAGAACTACTGGGAGTCAGCCACGCCACGAGCCAGCACGCTGCTGCACTCACCCACAGAGTATCCCGATGAGCAGCAGCAACAGCAGCAGCAGGAGCAACAGCATATGCACGCCTCAGCGAGACGAGCCTATCATCAGCAAAGGGAGCAGCTAGCGCCACAATTTTACAGCATAGCACAAAGGCAGAATCAGTCACAGAATATTCAAGCTCCACACGTATTGCGTGTGGGTCGCAGCCCAGTGAATCGCAACCACTCTGCTGGTGGCGCACAGCAACAGCCACCGATTGTTGGCAGCAGCAATCCTTGTGCCGAGGGGCTAACCCCTTTGGCTAGCCACTACCTGTACGGCAGCAAATCTTCACTGGATCAGCACGCGGCCGACTGGGAGCCACGCGAACAACGTAAGCAGCGGCTGCGCGAAGAACGCGAACGAGAGCGGGAGCGGGAGCGAGAGCGGGACAGAGAACGAGATCGAGAGCAACTGTTGCTGGAACAGCAACAGCATCTGCAACTGCAAGACGTACATGCCGCACGCGAAAACCACCTGAGCCACCTGTCGGCGGCACAGCAACATCAGCAACAGCAGCAGCAGCAGCAGCGAAAACGACACGGCAACAGCGAGGACCGGGATCGAGATCAACGGCTAATCAGCAACTCCGTCAATGAGTCATCAATCAGCGGCTACGGAGTAGCCGATGCCTCGGAGAGCTGGCAGCGTAAGTAGAGGGGCAGTTGGGCAGCAGTACAGTAAGGCCTACATAGAGATAAATATTCAGGAACCTTAAATTTGAATCCAATAAGCTATGTCTTAACTGTGCGGCAATTTCACAGAAATACTTATTGCGTCAGCTGCAGCAGAAGAATAACAAATAAATTTAGCCAATTATCCGATTTCCTGCTTTTTTTCTACTTAACAATCCAAAGAGGCTAGTTTATAACTTAAGTCAACTTTTGTCTTCTTGAGTTCTTCAATTCTAAAATAGGTTTTTGACTCAACATTTCGTTCTTACGTGATTTCTTTTCTGGAATTTGTATATCCATTTATAGACAATTTAGAACGAATAAAGTGCGAATAATACTAGAGTCAAGAACTTTTAGCTTGAACTCAAGAATTTGAAGGGCGAATATCCTTGTGCTTAGACAGCCGATTTTATCAATCCTCCTCGTTAGCTTTAAGCTGGTTTTCTAAAAAATAGTTGTGGGATAGATGCTCTTTACTTTCGACTTACATTATTGCAGCTACATAGAGTGATAAATTGAAGTATAAAAATTTTTTTATTTTCTCTTTTGCTTAGAGCATAATTATATTTTTTATTTACAGTGAGAATTTAGTTTCGATTTTTGTTCAGCTTTAAACATTTTTTTTAACCTTACTTTAAGCTTTCAGATGATATTTACTTTGAGATAGCTTTTAGCTTAACAATGATTGGCGAAGACTAATTGTCGAATAGATCGAAAGGAATTGTGCATAGTAGATCTATGCACAATTCCTTTGTATCTAAAGATTATAGCTTAAGTCAAAGGTCATAGATTTAAGCCAGAATCGTGATTGGCTGCTGCTTGTATTCGAATGATATTATAGACAGACTTATTCAATATACCATGAGCCTGAAGCTTATTTGGAATTGGATGCTTTATTTAGGGATCAATTTTATTCCGTTTCTTGTTGTGGTCTGAGCATTGACTTTCAGTCCAAATATTTACAAAGCACCCAAGCCAAACAAAAGCTGCTCAAATTTGGTTTTTAAGTGTCTGTTGCAAACTGTTTGTACGAAGAGCTTTCAGTTTGGGCTGCTTGAATAGCTAGATAGCTGCCTGGCTGCCTGGCTGTCTGGCTGGGTGTCGCCTTGAGCTGACGAGTGCCTGTCCATCTGCCCTTCACCCTTCCCCCTATCATATGTGGCCACCCAGCCGGCCTGAATTGTATGGCCATGACCATGGGCCGGGTAATTGAATTGCAAATCATGCGTAATGAAGTGCACTGCAAATATAAATGCGCATTAAACAAGTCACAACAACAGCAACAACAATCATGAGGCCGGTCAAATTTGGGACTGAGCGGGAGTCAAGGGGGAAATTAATTGTTTGCAATTAATTAGCTTGCCAAGTCTGTCAGACAGCTGGCTAAGGGCTACATGAAACATACCCGAAACCAATTCCATTTCGACTAACTCTCGCACCTTTGCAGATCTGCGCGTCACGACCGAATCGACCGAGGAGAGCAAGTGCGGCAAGCAGCTACCCACCGACAAGTCGCTGGCAGTCGGTGGCAGCCAGAGCCGTTCGCATGCTATGCTTGAGCCGCACTCGCGCCGCCTGCTCGACGATGGCGCCGTCTATCGAGAGCACAAGCTGGACGCCTGGCAGCTGGAACGCAACTACACGCTGGCCGTGGAGTCTCGGCATGGCATCATAGGTGAGTCAGGCGCTGTCTACCCAAGCATAGGTGCTCTCAATCAGCCACTCTTGGTACCCCCACAGAATACGAGGGCTCGCCACGACGCATTGGCGTCGCTGCCAGCAGCAGCAGCAGTCCCGCTGCAGCGGACGAAAGCGAACCACCAGTTGGCGCAATAGCAGCAACAGCAACAGCAGCAGCGGCAGCTCCACCAATGGCCGCCGTGCCGCTAATGAGTTGCAGCACGACTGCGGCTAGCTCGCTGCAAAAGACGGCAGCACGTGCCGCGCTCGCCGCACTTGCCCAATGCCAGCCACCGCAACAACCGCAGCCGTATCCGGTGCGCCCCGGCTTTCCCCAGGTACAGCCTCATGTCTTTTGTTTTTACCAGGTGGACAAGCTCTTCAATTCCAATTTCGTTCATTTCCGCAGCGCATAATTTCGCCACCGCGTGAGCTACGCAGCTGCTCTCCTACGCAGCAGCAGCAGCAGCAGCAGCAACTGCCGCTGCACTTCAACAACGGCAGCAACCATAGCAATAACAACAACAACAAAGCAGGGTGCTGCGACAACAATGCCGAGGATACGAGCAATGATGTCTCTGAAATTGGTACCATATCCGACATGACCACGCCCGAGGCGCCCATTACGGCCACGCCCAACGAGTTGACGAGCTGTGTTTCACCGCCACCCACAGCAGCTGCAGCAGCACCAGCAGCAGCAGTGGCAGCAGCAACAACAACAGTTGCAACCGCAACAGGAAAAACAACGATTGCACCAACCATCACATCAGCAATTGCCGGCAATTCCTCGACAGCGGGCACAACCCTAACTTCTGGCCCATTGAGCCTGCACACCAAATCCTCGACCTTTGATTACCTCTACGAGTTCTCGGAGACGCGCAAGGTGCTGGAGGAATTCTTCAAGTGTCCCTCGAATGATGAGCAGCCCATCATGGAGAATGGCAGCGATGTGGACAGCATTGTAAGTAAACAACTCCCTTACAATGTGGTTGGCCATCGTGGGGTGTAAAAAGGGTTACGACCGGGCTTAAACGGGCTCAAGCTGGAGCCCGTGCAGAGAGCTCCAAATTTATTTTCCACCAGAGCTTCAAAATGTTGATTTAAATTGAAAACCATTTCTGAGTTAAGATTTATAAATTTAAATTGAAGTGAAGACAGTAAATGTGCTCTAATCGGAAGTTCACGACTGGGAGATACCCTGTAGCTTGTTCTAACTAAAACACAAGCGCGCACGCCGGGACAAGTTTCTTAAAATTTAAAGCAAACCTGACCCGCGTGGGCTACAGAGGGACCTGCTATGCTATTTTGAGGTATTTTCAATACCCCAAATTAAAATTCGATGATCTGATGTCTCCTATAAGTGCGCATATAGTTCTTCTCATTTCGAATTGCCAATGTATTTATGTTCATGAAGGCATGATTCAACCTAAGGATCGACCTTCCAATAATTCACTTGTAGACATTTGTCTTAAAATTTTGCACATATGTGAGTAATAGAGAAGCTCGTAAATACAATATTTTCAATACAGAAACAGAATATTTCCACCGAATCTTCCTGCGGGGCTATAAAATATAGTTGCGCGATCTTGATACGATTTGGCTCATATGTAAGTAGCATAGTTTAACTAATAAAGGCCGGGTTTAGTCAAGATATTTTAACAAACATAAAATTTGTTCATACAAGAACTTAATTTTTAGTCGTTCGTTTCTATTTTAGCTATATGATATGGTGTTCCGATCCATCATCCAGATTATATATACTTTATGGGTTTGGAGATGAAATCTTTCATGCTCCAAAAACTGGATTTCGCTAGATTATATATACTTTATGGGTTTGGAGATGAAATCTTTCATGCTCCAAAAACTGGATTTCGCTATCGATTTTTATCAATTGCATGGAATCAAGCCAAACTACCGATAATTTGAAATCAACTTCACATTGATCCAATTAAAATGGCTACAGATTATAAAAAGAAATTAACTCAGTGCAGAACGAGCTTTTAATTTTTTATTTTTTTTTTATCTTCTCCCAATTTCATAAAATCGATTTGGAAAAAGTTTATAATCTTTCGTTTTTACACAGATAGGGAACATCTTATTCTTGTGATACCCCTCAACCCATTTCCCCAAGATTGAAAAAAAAAATTCGTTGGTAAATTCGTTCGCTTTGGTATGTGTATACACACACATTCAGGTGCCATATTAAAGCCCTATGAATTTCAAAAGAATTATTGTTACTCAAGTATGAATTTTCCACTTGGAGTGCTCAGGTTTCTGCGTGCGTGCTTCTGAGTTTTGAAATTGTAATTGCAAGGAAATTGTAAGGAGCATTACGACTAATCAAATTATTTATTTATTGTCCAATCGTCATGTAATGCTCAAGTAACAAACGTAGCCTTCAGACATGCTTATGATCTCCGTGTGGTATGCTAACAATTGAATCTATATTTTACACCTGAATAAAAATTGACAATTTTAGAATGAAAATGAAATCAGAAGGGTTTTGGAAAAGAAATTAAATTTCACTTACAATAAGTCCTGAAGGTTTTGTAATTAAAACTTAGTCTAAATATCCTTTGACCTCGGATCTTTGCAGGATATACAGTACGAGTTTCACAGCAATTTTGAGCGTGACGAGGAGGAGCTAGATGAGGAAGAGGAGGAGGATGAGGACGATAATGATGAGGGTGAGGATGAAGATGAGCACGCCGAGCAGGAATATCAGCAGCAACAACAGCAGCAGCAGCCACAGCAACTGATGCAGCAGCCGCCCGCATCAGAGCGTCACGTCTATGGCGCCTACACGCAGCCGCAGCTGCAGTTGCAGTCGCAGTCGCAGATGCAGCTGCAGACGCAGCTGCAGTCGCGGCCAGCGCAGCTACCACGGCACTACAGCGGCAGTCCACTAATGCGCGACTTTGACTTCTTCCTTGACTCGGCCAGCCGCAGCAGCGGCGAGCGAGAGGGCGAACAGGATGGGCTCAATCACAACCAGCTGCTGAGCACCGGCAGCGGCAGCGGCCTGGGCCAGAGCGTTGGCCAGGGCGTGGGCGGCGGCCTGACAGGCGGCCACAACTACCGCTACTCGCCGGAGACCACCGACTACGACTCCAACTGCGGCGATCTGGACAGTAAGTAATTGGCTAACCGGGGATTTTCTCAATACTAATAAGTATTATGACTCTTTTAAAGGTCTCTCGGGCGAGATGAATGGCGGCGTATCGACCTCCTGCTCAAACTACGCCAAGTACTATGCCTCGGCCATGCCCGTGCTGGAGGATGGCCTCTCCTCGGGCCACACCAGTGACACAGAGAATAATAATAACAACAAGAACCTTCAGCAGCTGGCCACCCAGGCAGCCCAGAACCAGATACAGGGCCTTACCCAGAACCAGAGTCAGGGCCAGGGTAACCTCAGCGCCAGCACCAGCATTGGTGGCGGCATTTCCATGCTAATGGACATGAAACGCATCTCGACTAACAACAGCCTGAACAGCATGCACAACCTGACGGCCTCCACCACCGAAAGCAACGGAGTTGGCCACCAGCTCAGCCACACGAGTCCCAGCAATGGGCTACATAAGCAGCACCAACAGCAGCAGCCGCAGCTGCCGCAGCAGCGCGAACTGCTCGGTCAAAGCCCCAGCAGCAACAGCAATAGCAAAGTGTTCAAGAACATAGATCCGGAGTTGGATTCCCTCTACTCTATCAGTAAGTAGAGATTAATCAAACCAAATAATATATTAAGTCTAGTTAAGATGAGCTTTTTTTTTTTTTTTTCAATTTTTATATTTTGTTTATTAAGAAATCTGGTATCCTGTTACTCTATGTTAGCAACTTTTATCAGAGTGACATAATTACTTAGCTTAGCGACAATTGTGGTTTTACAATTAGTTTTACAATTAGGTTAACAGATTACAGAAACATATTTGGATGTAATTAACGCAGCTTGTTAAGATGAGCAGACTTTAAACTTAACGATATATATATATTATGTGAGGCGAGGCGGAGTAAAATGTGATAAGCCAAGAAGCAATCAGGTAATAAGTTTGAAGCCGAGTGGATGAAACGTAAGACATCCTCCAATTACTCGGGTATAAAAAGTTTTAGACCGATCAGATGACAAACATCATTTCATAAGATTAGTTTAACAATAATCGTAGTTTTCTACGGTTTGCGGCTGTGCGTTGATCATCAATAAGTCGAAACAGTTGCTTATACTTGAGAGGACACCGTTTGCTCAGTCTGCTCACTTTATAGAACCTTTTGATACTCTTTCAATTCATTTTATAGTTGCTACGCACAGTTGAAACGAGTATATTGGTCAGGCCTAGAGCCTTCAAGCTTCGAATATATACTCGCGTATATCAATTGCCAGACAGAAATTTGCAAGTAGACTAATGTTAAATTGAGCCGCCAAATAGATCACTGATTTGTGGTAACAGTCTTAGAGTCAGTAGCCCAATATTCAAAAAGACTCTTTCGACTAATATATTTGGTATATACACTGTAATTAGAGTGTTACGTGGTCGGTTACGCTCGCACTTATTCTTAATCAAATTACGGCCTAAATGAGGGCTTTCGTCTAAGCTAAATATTAATCTCTTGTCGTATTCTTTTTGGCACCTCGCAGGTGTTTTCCACCGGCCGGACATGGTGCAGATGACGCCTCCGCCGCCAGCGCCGGCGCCGCATCGCAAGCCCAACTGCAGCACTGATGTTGATCTGCTGCAGACCACAGGACAGGGCAGCAAGCACACCCCGCTGAATGCGGCCATCAGCTCGACGTTGCAGCGCAGCTCGCCCACCGCCTGCATAGGCGTCGGCAGCGTCGCCGCAAAGCCGCGCAGCGCGGGCAGCAATTGCAGCAGCAATGGCATCGGCGGTGGGTTGGGTGGTGGGCCAGCGCCCCCGCCAATCCCCGAGCGCAGCAACATGCAGCCGGTGCAACGCTCGCCCTCGCCTGTGATGAGCTCGCCCGTATGGCTGTCACGGCATTTGGATGGAGGTGCCGGCAAGGCGCTGCTCGAATCAAGCTCAGATAACCACTCGAAGAACCACAGTGCCGACGAGGAGGACGTGGACACGGACCTAGAGACGGACCGACTGCTGGGCCACCAGCGTCTGGACGATCAGGGCTACTACGATGAGAACAAGAGCTGGGATCGCAAGCCGCGCGGCTCGCTGCTCTCTAAAATATCGCCCAAGCAGCAACAGATGCCCAGCACCAAGACACGCAATGGCTACAATGCGTTGCTCAGCTCCACGCCGGAACTGCCACCGCCCATTCCACCCAAGAGCTCGGCCAGTCTCAGCGGCTCGGGCGCCGGCAAGCTGCTCGACTTGGTCAGCAACGTGCAGCAGCGCAGCAACTCGCGCAGCTCCTCGGAGCACAGCCACAAGTCGCCGACAAAGGTGTCCAGCATCGGGCATGATATTTGTGGCATGACAGCTGCCACAGCTGCCGATGTGGTCGCCTCTGCTGTGGTCGCCGCCGGTGCACTGCCCCCTTTGGGCAGTCCCAACAATGGCGGCGGCTCAGAGCGCTCTGCTCCGGGTGTCGCTAAGCTGGATGTGGACAATGATGGCATCAATGGTGGCGGCATTGTGGGTGCCGCCAGCGGCGTGGCCAATGCTGTCATCAATGCTGTCGGCAACAGCAGCACCAATGGCAGCACCGGCAACAACAACAACACCAACACCAACAGCAACAGCAACAACAATAATGTGGCCATCGGCAGCAACAACAGCAGCGGCAGCGCAGCCGGCAGCAACAGCAACAGCGGCGAGAAAAAAGTGAAAAAGAGTAAGAGCAAAGAAGGTAAATGCTTTGGGTTTATCCTTCGTTAAATTGTTACAATTTTAGTGTCAATATAATACCCAATATCGTAAGCAATATCGTAAATTCGTCACTTGCTGTTGCTTTTCGCTGCCCCATGAAGCATACCCTTTGGTGCTGGCAAGCAAAGAGCAACCGCAGCGTGAACAAAACCTAGAAATCAAAAATTATTAATATGACAACAGATTAAGCTTTGGCATGCCGAAGCTGAAATACCCTTGCAAGCAGCCGATGAGCCCGAGCTAGAAGTAATAATCGAAGATTCAAAGCACTTGCAGGCACATGGCTTAGAAGTGCTTTTATTCAAATGCATTTTCTCAATATTAAAGCAAAGTTTTTCGTAAAAAACTAATTTTTAACCGATTCTTCGTGTAGAGGTATACTATGATATTGTGGTCCGATAATGATAAGATGGAAAAAGCTCGTAGCAAGTTTGGTTTCTTCTTGTATGAAATGTTAGACCGATCATTCCTATGGCAGCTATATGATATATGTATACAGGTCCGATCCGGCTGGACAAAATATCGTGAGAAAAACTCCCCATCGGTAACTTGAGCGAGAACTAATGATTGTGATTTATGGAATAGCACTTGGTACGGACAAAGCCGGCTAATAACTGCTAGAATGAGATATTTATATTGTTTAACGAGCGGTGCAAGGGTATAAAACATAATTTGATAACTAACACAAATGTACGTATATGATTTGCAGCGCAAATCGATAATTCATATTTGATAACAACAAATTACTAATCGTATCTATATTTATATATATATATATATTTGTATACTTATATATGTATTTTCTATATTCTTTCGCATATTTTATTGCCAAATTTGCGTTTATTGCATGCCTCGTTCGTTCGTTCCTTCATTTTACTGTGTCTGTGTGTGTGTACAATACTTTGTAAGATACAATTCCAATATGTAGCCGTAAATAATTACCAAACCAACAGTAACAATACCAATACAACAACACACTAAGACACACCCACTCACAGATGCACATACGTTCGAGAGTTATCATTAATCATATGCACGAGTAATTGTACTTTTCACAATGGATGTATATATAATACAGTGATCGCTCGCTAAATAGAACGCTTCGGTTTAATATGTGATTATGGGAGCAAAGAATAATTGTAAGCGTAATGTATCTTTTTTATAAAATCCAATTTCAAAGGGTTTGTGAAAATGTGAAAAATGCTTAAAAGCAGGGCTGCTGCCCAAAAAACGTGTCTGGTTCGGTTTAATGTACAAGCCTGAGGAACGGTTCGTTGATTTGATTTCCATGTATATTCCCCCACATCATAAAGAAATTTCAAGTTATTGTAAGTTATATTTATATTTGTATTTATTAAAATTAGTTAGCTAGGAAGGAGCTAGGAAGACGAAATGTTTACTGTATTTTTATTGTGTCATTAAGGATTTGAGGAATATAAAGGTTTTTTGTTTGTCGGATTATTATTTATTTTCCAAGATCTTTGTTTCATTCATTTGATCCTATTGGATGGAAAAAGCGGGTTGCATAAACGGTTTCTTTTTCGGCTAAAACCTCCTCACCACGAGAAAAAGTTTTAGAGTGGACGAAAAACTTTGATTCCAACTCTTGATTTCTAATTTGATGGACTTTACACTCATTTTCAAATATCTGTGTAAAATAAAACTTAAGACGAGATGTATGTTGGTTTTCAAAAAATGTATACTTAAGGTTCAGTTAACATTTCATAAACGAGGTCAAACAAAATTTCTTATTTATTTTCGAGTGTTCTAATTCTCGAGCAATAACTGCATCGTTACTCTCGTACATATGCTGGATACACCTTGTAGCGTGCAACAGCATACACATACACACACACACACGTACAATATATGTGAACATATATAAACATATATCTATATATCCAAAATAAACGAGTACACATACAAATTGGTTACATTATTCGCCCAGTTATTAATCGATTTTCTCTGTTCTACCAACAACAACCACAACAACAACAATGAACCTCCAACAGGCGGCGCAGTGCTCATCGAAGGCGTTCTATTTCGGGCAAAATACTTGGGTTCCACGCAGCTGGTTTGCGAGGGTCAACCCACTAAATCGACACGCATGATGCAGGCGGAGGAGGCCGTGTCTCGCATAAAGGTGAACTTCCCGCACAATTTCTTAAAATAATTTATTTCGTGTAGCTCGAGACAATTTTGTAGCGATATGATTTGTAGTAAATCCAGTCTAAAAAATAATAATAATTATTATAATAAAATGTGCCCCGGAAGCAATGCTCGCAATTATTTTTCACGATTCTGAAAGTCTGTCTTTAAAAAGCAGATTTCACTTTACATAATTGATTATTTATGAATCGTATTAATTCACTTATGTTTTATTTATTTATTTATTTTGTATTTTGTATTTTGTTATTTTTTCCCCTTGGCCTTCACTGGAGCTCGACTGTAATCGACTCTAATCTCGACTTTAATTATTATTAACTATCGAGTCACCTTTTTTTAGCTTTCACATTAATATTTTAGTGCTAGCACGTTGCGAATCAAAAATAAAATCAACTCTCTTTCTATATTAATTGACTTATTGTCCAGCTCGTTGGAAATTTGTGTGGGAACTCAATTTTTACCTAACCAACGTGATAAATGTTATCTCGATTCACAAACATTCAATATTAACGATATTTCAAAACAAAAAACTTTTAATTATATCCATTTTGATAAAAAGAAAGGCTGCAAGTCCCACAAATATGTTGGGCGTTTTCGGTTCACGGTTTTGGCCAGAGTCTCGCCTGAGGCTGGCTTTCCACAGCTTTGAAACGAGCTTAACAGTTTTTATATGTAGATTAAATGTATGTTGCAATATTATTTTCAATTGTCCGAATAAAAAATTGCTTTGAGCCAAACCATCAATTGAATAAATATCGTCCAGTTATAAGTTCGACTGTTCTTTAATCAATCCGATTATTTTAAATAAAAAATAGGAATTCCAAGCTCAAGCCGGTTCGACTTTGTAGAGACTTTAGCTTGCAACTATGTTTAAAAGCACAGAATCTATTAAATAATGTTATACTGATTCAAATAGAATTATTTAAGTTTTATTTTTCGACTTATAAATAATTATTATTTTATCATTTACAATATATTTCTACATTAATTTAACTTACAGTAAATTGAAATTTATTCTTTTTTATCTTGAACTTAGTTTTCAAATAGTTTCGCTTTTATTTTGTCTCAAATGATGAAATATTTATTAGCATTTAAGTTAAACTGTTTCGTGGGGCACAGCTCAAATCTCCTTTATGATTTAACAAAATTAATAAGCTACTTATTTAGAGTTTCTGACAAAATCACTAGCAAAGCCATATGGTAAAAGTTCTAGTCTTAAATGAAAACTCATGCCGACTTTTGATTATTTTTTCATGCATCTCAATTTGTTGCCATCCACATCTCAACTGAACAAACTGCTCTGCTCCGTATTTGTAAACGCGTAATGAATGTGATGAATTCGCTAAACGAATCCACGTATCGCCATGCAATCCACACAATCGATATAAAAAATTCGCATACCTTAGGCCCTGGTAAGTAGTACATAGTGAAATAATGAATCCAGTCTTACGTTTGATCTGATTTGCGCTAAATTGAAGAATATTTTGTTTTCCTTATGCAACAAGCTTCAAACTAAGCAAAGTCAAAGTAAACATAAGCGCATAACTATTGATGTAGAAATCAACATATATATTAACTATGCAAGACATAGAGCATTAAATTATTTAATTATAATAATCAGGCACCCGATGGCGATGTGCAGCCCAGCACGGAGGTGGACCTGTTTATATCGACGGAGAAGATAATGGTGCTGAACACCGATCTGAAGGAGATAATGATGGATCACGCGCTCCGCACCATTTCCTATATTGCCGACATCGGGGATCTGGTGGTGCTGATGGCGCGTCGCCGTTTCGTGCCACAGGACATTGATGATGCACCCAAGCCGAACCGCACGCCCAAGATGATCTGTCATGTGTTCGAGAGCGATGAGGCGCAGTTTATTGCACAGTCGATTGGTCAGGCCTTTCAGGTGGCGTACATGGAGTTCCTTAAGGCCAACGGCATTGAGGATCATCGCTTTGTCAAGGAAATGGACTACCAGGAGGTGCTCAATAGCCAGGAGATCTTTGGCGATGAGCTCGAGATCTTTGCCAAGAAGGAGCTGCAAAAGGAGGTCGTTGTACCCAAGGCCAAGGGCGAAATACTCGGCGTGGTCATTGTCGAAAGTGGCTGGGGCTCCATGCTGCCCACGGTCGTCATTGCGAACCTCATGAGTTCTGGTGCGGCGGCGCGTTGCGGCCAATTGAATATTGGCGATCAGCTGATCGCCATCAATGGACTGAGTCTAGTCGGTCTGCCGCTCTCCACCTGCCAGACGTACATCAAAAACACCAAAAACCAAACCGTGGTCAAGTTCACAGTTGTACCCTGTGCTCCCGTCGTCGAGGTTAAGATCAAGCGGCCAGAGACCAAATATCAACTCGGATTCAGTGTCCAAAATGGCGTGGTAAGTGTAAAACGCATTTGATTGATTGACTGACTAATAAATTAACTGACTAACGTGCTGATTGACTGTCCGACGGACTGATTAATTGAGTGTTTGACAAGATTACTGACTGATTGACTGCATGACCGACAGATTAACTAAATGACTGGCTGACTGATTAATAAACTGACTTAGGGGCAGGTTGACTGTCTGATGGACTGACTGATTGAGGGATTGACAAGATTACTGACTGATTGACTGCTTGACTGACAGATAAACAAACTGACTGACTCCTTGATTAAACGATTGATGGGATGATTGAATGTCCGACTGACTGACTGAGGAATTGACAAAATATGCAACTGACTGACGGATTGACTGCCTGACCAACTAAGTGGTTGACTGACTAATTAGATAACTGACTACCGACTGATTGGCTGTCTTATGGACTAACTGATTGACTGATGGATTGACAAGTTTACCATCTGATAATGGACTGACTGTCTGACAAACTTGTTTATTAGCTGACTGATTGGTGTCGAACGCACGACCCATCAGTCCAAACCGTAAGAAGTAGGACGTGGACAATAGGTTCCTTTAAAGATGGGGCATCAGAATATATCCACAAGGGTAGAAAGAAAGCGGGAATACTGATACATTGTATCTTTATGTTTTTAACCGAGAGTATGAAAAAGAGTTAAAAATGTGAAAAATTAAATTCCCTACACACAGTATAAAAATGGGTGGAAAAGAGTTGTCGCTTTTTTTTTATCCGATGGTATGAAATATAATTTTAAAGATTTATTTTAAAATTGATTTAGCAAGTGTGTTAGCATATGTGAAAATGGGTGCAGGTAATATAGTACTGGGATTAATCTCCTATATTTATCTTTCAGATCTGCAGCCTGTTGCGTGGAGGCATTGCGGAGCGGGGTGGCGTTCGGGTTGGTCATCGAATCATTGAGATCAACAACCAGAGCGTTGTGGCTGTGCCGCACGAGAAGATCGTCAATTTGCTGGCGACATCGGTGGGCGAGGTAAGCGTTAGCACGTAAGAGCTAATCGAAGGCCAAAGACTAATCCCCCTTCTATCACTCTATCACTTACAGATACTCATGAAAACAATGCCCACTTCAATGTTTCGCTTGCTAACCGGCCAGGAGAACCCCATATATATTTAAGCGATATCTACCGATTGACGAGAGATAATGAAGAGCGCGTGCGTATTAGGCAGAATTCTAATAATATACATATATATATATTAATATATGCATATATTAATGTGTATGAATATGCGTATCTGTATAGACTTAGTTTGATATAACGCTGATACTTATATAATGCATAGAAAACGTGTTCTAATTTAGCTATCGATTGTGTGTGTTGTTTTTTTTTTTTTGTGACTACTATAGACTAAAGATAAAACAGAGCGGAAGAGTATAGAAGAGTATGTGGGAGCTATGACAAATAACAAGCGTAAACCTTTTGTTCCAAACTGCAACCAACAAAAATATAGCAAAGAAAACTATAAGCAAAAAAAAGAAAAACCAAAAGTAAAGAAATTAAATGACAGAAATTGCACGCCTTTTTGCAAAGCTTAGAACTAATAGTAAATAATGTGCGGGAGAGCGCTGCGACTCCGTTGCGATTGTTCGAGTAAAAAACATATATATACACATATTATATATCTCTATATATGTATATATATAAATATATATATATATACATATGTATATATATATATATATATATATATATATCTACATATATCTTTATATACACGATGACCTTTTTGCGAAAACGTCCTTAGCTTAGTTGAACAGCGTACAGACACAATTAGTGAATATATAAAGATAGTTACGGTTACAATGCCTTTGCCAACCCCATCCCCAAACATGCACCGCTTTTCCTCTACAAATACCATATATGCTTATACACACACACATATATATACCCTAACTTATACGCATATATAAATGTGTAAAGATGTGAACATGCACAAGTAAAACCCTTTCATACATGCATATGTATTGCTTTTTTATAATACCCACAAACACACCTACACACACACACGCATATATATATATATATATATACGTATTTTAAAATATATATAACTTCAATGTATATATCGAGTTTTGGGTGCTAAGCCCCGTCCCCCGATCCTCCACCTTTCACCCTATCACAAATTGAAATTGTAAACGCATGTCAAGCTGTAAAGTCCAGCTCTACGTTTGTGTAGACATCATATGAGATAAAATACAAATATACTTACGCTCTATGTAAATTAAGATGCGCGTTTAGTAATATTTATTACCCCAGATATCCTGAGTTAGGCAAATGGCTTCTCCTGTTTATTTTGTAACTTTTTAACAGTTTTGTCTTGATTGCAAAAGAATGCTTCAAGTCAGCTTACTAGATCAACACACACTCACACACACACACACACACACACATCTTGACACACACACTGACACACTAGACGCTTCGATTTCAATAAACATCTTCGTCCAAAAATTGTGCTACTACTCGTTAAACAAGTTGATAGAATGAGAAAAATGTAAAACCAAAGAAAATGCTATATTATATATATATATGTACCGATATATATACATACATACTTACATACTATATCGATACTACCTATATCTATAACATTTAAGCCTAGCATACATACATATATGCATATATATACATACATCCGATAGACACACGTACACACGTACACACACACACACACACACACACACACACCGACACAGACAAATGCATTTCGTTGTAAAATACTCGCTTGGCAGAAAAAACCAAAAAAAAAAAATTAAAGAAATTAATGAATTATCAATTACTTGTAATGCATTACTCGTAATTCATTATGACAACAATGTGCTTAATATATAGACAAATTTTCATGTGAATTGCTTGCATTTTGGCTTGATCCGGAAGTCGGGGGCGCCACTGGCCACGCCCACGCCCACGCCCACCAATACGAATACAAAACCAAATATGATAATAATAGCAGGCAAATCTTTAATAAATAAACAACAAAACAAATGACCGCTTCAGCCGCCCAAGGCACATCCAGCAATGGGCCCCAGCACCAACTTTGGATCAGCACTAAAAGCCATGCAAAGCAAAAACAAAGTATAAAAAAAAGAAAATAAGAAAAAAAGGGATAAAAACATTGCAACAAATAAATTACAGAAATTATAAAAGAAAGCGAAATGAAGAAAACAAATATATAAGAGAAGTAATTGTTTAACTTTTTTTTGTGGTGTAAATTATTTATACATATATGTACACATATGTATGTGTATGCATACAATTCATGAGTATATATGGACATATTTATTAAATAAATTGCATAGAAATTATATAAGGAGCAATGATGATTATTTGTAATGGCGCATTAAACCAAATACAAAAGAAAAACAAATATAAAAATCCAAAAACAACAACAAAGTAAATGATATATAATCGCATGCGTAACAGAAAAATATATACACAAAAGTCAAACCAAAAATTGAGCATAATAAACAAACGAAAAACAACAAACAATGTCTTTTTATTATTACTTCTATTTTTAATCCCATGTAAAGTATTTAAAATCACAAACTGTGCAACTTATAGAAGGAAACGCCTCTGATCCTATAAAGTACATATATCTCTATATATAAAACTGGTGTATGATCGGCTACAAAAACATTTGCAAAGATCTCCGTGTGAATTCATTTGGAGGTGTTTCGCACATTTTGGAAAATCCATGCCTCCTTGGTGGAAATAGGGTTCAAAGATTTGGTGGTTGAAAATCATTAGAGACGGGTTTTACATTTTTCGCAAAATCCAAACTTCTTCGGTGGAAAGTGCAATTCAAAGATTTTGTTGGTGAAGTTTTTTTTTTCCGATTTGCTTCAAACTTATTTTCAAAGCTCTGCATAAGAATTTATTGAAAATGTGCTTCAGCGATTTCGGAAATTCCACCCACAACAGTGGTAAATTGGCGGAAATCGTTTGTATGAAAGTTGTTTGTTGACCATCCGATCAGTTTCAAAATCATTTTTAAAGCTTTTTGAGAACATTGATTTTATATCATACGTGCCACAGGCAAGGCCGGGATATACCAGCTAGTGTATATATATAATATATATATATATATATATATTAAAGTACGATATAGCTTTGTACTTTTGCCTATTTAATATATATGATATATATATTCAAATTCGAAAAGGAGGGCACGCATATGAATGTATGGGCACGCGAGCAGTAGGAGGACCCACGTTCACAATATGTTGCCTCTAGATGTTATATGCTCTGGGTCGGCGTGTTCATACAAAAGAGCAAAAGGACGAACACACAGACGAACATGGGTAGATCGACACGTGCGAATCATGATAAAGTTGCGCATCCTACTTCACGCCAAACCGATCGAGGGACACAATCGTATAACGTAAAACCTGTAGGGACCAGCTGGCACAATATTCATTAACTCGTCCCATTGTACCAGCACCCGTTAAGAGTCAGAAAAGTCACCAGAAATGTATGCATTCATCCCATGGTAATCGCTTTTTGCTTTTACATGATGCTGCAAAATGCGCTATCTCAGCGACGGTGCGTTGCCTCGCTCGCACTCACGCGAGAATGAAGGAATGCTCGATAGATCAGGCCATATCACCGTTATAATTTAGATGTGGTAAAATACAATTGTATTTGTAGGTGTGTTCTTGCTGAAATTGAAGTCAGACAGAAGGTCCGATTGCCACGCTGCATTCTTTTTAATTTGACAGCAGAACAAGCAAGACGCATATTTGGAGTGCGCATAAGTTTTACTAATTAAAAGTGCAGAGGCTGTACACAGCTTCGGCTTATTCAGGGCATATTGAGCCCAACGAATTTCAAGTCTCCAGTGTTCATAATTCCACGCTCAGAAGTTTTCCGCCATCAGGTGATATTCGTTATAAATTAATTGAGTGCGTTATTCTTAATAAACCCCTATTCAGTGGGTACAATCTTATTTAGCTACCGGCCAGCCATTGCGCAACCACGCCTTCGTGTATTCTTATATATATACACATACAAATTCAGCGCGGCTGGTCGGTCATAGCCAACTTGGAAGTTTTGAAAGCATACGTCCGCCCAAGGGAGCGACAGCCCTACGGACTTAAGATTGCTGTGGGATCGCTACAAACAAAGACAGCGGCAACACCAGTACATTGCGGCTGAGCCTGCACCCCGCACTTATCCATTTGTGACCAAGCTACCTCCTGGTCGAACTTACTGTTCCAGCCCGATGAACGGAGTGTCGCTGGCAAGGAATTGAACCGATTAGGTGTCCGCATACCAAGATCAAATACAAATTGCCAAGGGAATAGCCTCAAGGAGTTCGCACTTTGTGTGAGCGTAAACGTGTTCGGTTGGATTTCTTTTGTGTACACGCTTCGATCTAAATGCTCATGAATTAGTATTTTAAAACCATTTTCGCTTTGCTTAAATGAAAATATAATAGTATAAAAGCGACTGTCTTAGAAACTTCCTTTCTTTGGCAAGACCATAGAGCCAAGCTATTTTGTAATTTTGAAACATAACCTTTAAAAATATGTTGCTAACGTAAGAATGTTAAACTTAAAGTAAACTGAAATCTATGTGCCATGAGAATTAGGCGACGAGTGTACGGTATATCGCAAATTATTTGTAAATAGATTAACTAATGTAAATTGCTCCGCAGATATTACCACAATGCTAACGATGGGCCCAACGTACGCATCGATGGATTTATTTGTTTCAATTTGTGAGTATGTAATGGCCACATAAGCCAGCAGAAGAGTTTGAAGTATAAAATGGTAATTGTAAATCGGCGAGCCTTCAGCACTACCCGATATAGGAATCTCATGTAATTTGAATGTACCGTCTCCAAAGCCCATTATCAGTTGCCAGGCAGTATGATTTCTGGTTTTTTTTTAATTATCTCATAGAGTTATAATCAGTTATATAGTTTATCTTGTAGCCATGATACAGTTTTGATTGATCGTTAGTGCTTTCCGCGTAAACATGTCCTATACGAAACAAATAGGCAATAAATAATATGGAAATCGAAATTAATATGTTTAACTAAAAAACTTTCGTGGTTCGTCGCCAGTACCTTAAGAAATTAAAAATGTGCAAACCAATAAATTAACCAACAAGAGGTCCGAACGAGGGGTGGCCGTGACATTCGCCGTGCCACCAAGGTAGGGTGGGTACAGACCGTGGGGTAAATTAACATCCTTGTTACCCCACAACCAAATCAAACGTCTGAGCCGCCAACGACTGACATAATACCGGTTACCGTTCCCAATTTCGACATTTTTGAACTTGTAGTTTTATCTTTGTGAAAGTGCACTTATCATTGTGCTAGTGTGTAGCATAGCAGGATGAAGAAAGAACCCATACCCCATCCGACGAGCTAAGTCTAAAGAAGAAAGCTAGAAGTGCACGACTTCTGATTCCGCTATGCACAAGTAGGCGAGATAAAATCTATCTCCTCAGTACGCACACGCTACAAACCCGAAGTTGCGAAGTACCAAAACAAATACAAGCTATGACTTAAGACTATGGGAATCATCACAAAGAATACGGAACGGTTCATGCATAGGGCCAGTTATCGATCTCATACTGTGCGGGGACTAGGAGGACCTATGATGGACCTAAAATTTGAAGTATCTGAAATCCTTGTTCATACATACGGATAGAAGGAGAAGTGGACATACGGACATGGATGGATCGACTTAACTATATATATGTTATATATGTTAAAAAACCACTTGAAAGTAATACAACAAATCTTAAGATTTCTCCCGAGCGAAGCGATACGATATGATATGATACCGAACTGAAATGTATCCGTAGAGTCGTCATATCAACACACTTTTATAAGAGCCACCTAGCAATTGTTAAGGACTAAACATTATATTCGCGGCCAGTTGTTCGTAAGTCTGTTTTGACCTATGGAATCCGTTTGTGACTCAATGTCTGCAGAGTGTTTGTAGTTAGGCTGAAATAAAGGAACATCCTAGCTGCTCCAAATAAGTATGCAATATTATTGAGGCCAAAATAAAGAAGACAATGCGATTGGTAAATTTGTGTTTCAAATTAATATTTATTGATGAATACTTTTAATTTTTGCATCGATTACTTTGTTAATGCTATTTGCCATTCAATATAAGAAGTTTTTACATGCAATCATAGTTTTCTCGCATTTCTCGTGTATTCGTAATGTCATTCATTTATTAATTGTTTGTTTTTTAAATACACACACCGATCAAAAGAAAATGCAATTCGCATTTTTTATTATTTTCCTTTCTTTTATTTTATTTTTGTTGTTGCAAATCTTTTGTTAAATATGCAGCAAATGCTGCTAACTGGCTTGTTATGTATACATATGCATATAGACAGGCTACATATGTATGCGTGTGTAATAATGTGTGTGTGTTTGAGTTTTGCAAGAAAATTGTGTGCAAATGTGTGTAGCCGAGTTTTTTCAAAGGGATCAGCAGACCTACACGTTTAGCCAATTATTCAATTCCTCGAAGAATGATAATTTCATGACTTTTATAGCATACTTTTCGGCGCTGATTGGAAACACAAATCGTGTGCCTGAGCGCTCCGGAAAGTATGCTGCTTATAATTTCGGGGAATTAAAACGAAATGTATCTGAACTCTAGACTCCAGACTACAATACATATGTATATGTGTATGCCGTGTGTAATATTATTGTTAATAGATTCTTTCATAGCTTCTGCTTTATTAAGTTTGAAATTTGCATTTCAGTTTGAAAAGACTCGATATTATTATAAAGTAGTTTTCCACCTAGTTCTTACTTGAATAGGCTTACACTAACAATTTTTCTTTATATTGTATTTACTCTTCCGCTATCGCAAATGGCCGCAGTTAACGATATATATCGAATAGAGCAAATAACGCGCTTCATTGTCAGTTTTTCTTCCTTTTTTGTTTTCTTTAGTTTATAATAGAATGTAATTTTTATATATATTTATATATGTTTGTATATGTATGTTTGTATGTATGTATGCATGCATTTCATATATATGTGTGTATCAAGTTTGCATCATAAAATTTTTCTAAGTTCCCCGCACATTGGGCTTGGGGAACCCTCTTAAAACTAATACCATTGCAATGATAAACACTTGTAATTTCCATTTATACAATTGCAAATGTTGTGGGTACGCTGAAAAAAATGTGTTAGTTATTTTTCGTTAAATCATTTTTTGTGGTTTTTTCTTCTTATATCTTTTAGTTTTTTTTTTGTTAGCTTGGCCAAGTCGCTTGTTCAAGGGCTACCAATAATTTTGCTAATAAATTAGTTTGTCAAATTTGTTAAATTTTGTGTACTCAAGTTTGACCAATGAAATGTTTCGACTTAATTTATACCTCGATTTCAACAAAAATACTCAAAATCTCAATTCAAAAAATATTCTTTAGATTTTTTTGTTTTTGGGTTTTTTGTGTTTTTTAGGGCTTTAATAAATTTCAACTATTAAAAATAAATGCAAAAAATTTAATTTAGTTTAGTTTTGTTTTAAATTTAAATTTGTTTTCAGCAAATGTTGCGCATATGTTTTGGGGTACAAATTGAGAAATTGTGTTTTTGGTGTGTAAATATTTGAACTATATAGTATATAATTAATCTCATCGTGTTTAGTTTTGTTTTGTTTTTTTTTTGTACTTTGTTAGAAATTCACGCAGATATGCTGAAATTATCCAACCGAGTCCTTGCTGCCTCATGAAACAAACATATCCAATAAACGAAAAGCCAACCTGTTCCAATTCTAGTAGTTCCAATTACCTAGCCCCTCACTTTAGCCATACCTTATTAATCAAACCCTATTCTTGTCCCACAATCTATGCTTAAAAGCTAACCAAGCTAAGTACTCACATAAACATATCCAATTATCGTTAATCGTTTATCGATTATCGTCTGCCTACCGCACTCTTCTAAGCCTTCAAAATTTGTTATCGATTACATTTATCCTTAACCTCAAACGTTATCATGTACATACAACTTAGCTGTAAATTTAACATAAGTTTATGTAGAGACCGAAAAACAAAAAAAAATAAACAAATACAAATACAAAAGGACGCTAATGCATAAACATTTGTATAAATTGCACATGACTTGACGTGGTACATTATTAACTAGGACAGTACAATATACATATATAATTATAAAAGATGCGTCTCGTTATGTTATGTAATGGGTATCATCGTTAGCTAAAGTCAAAATAAATGATTTGGTCGATTTTCGTTTTATGTCGCCTTCCAAGTGTGTATGCGTGTATGGGTATTTTACAATTCTTATTTGTATAATGTTCCATATATGCAAGTAAGTATTTGCAATTGGCACATAATTACTAACAAAGTCAAATTAATATTATATTTAATTGTTGGTATTTTGTATTTTTGGTTCTTATTGGTTTTTCATATTGTATTGCACATGATGTCAGTTGCAACGAACACGCGACAGCGAGTTAACATCGCGTTAACATGAGTTCAAAGGAATAGAAATGAAAAAAATCGAACGGTAATCAAATAAATAAAAGTCAGCTTATTGAACTAAACCATTAACTAAGCATTTATTGAAATAAAATAATGATAATTGCAATTATATTCTTTTTTATAAAGGTAATTAAGACAGTAAAATTAACTCAAACAAGAAAGAATAGTTATTTTCGAAGTGCCGAAAATTCAACGCCCTTGCAGATGCAAATTTGGAAATATATTTTTAGTGCACTCAATTCTCAATTCGAATAATCCTAATTATGAGGGTTATTTGACACATCTACTGCCTTAGGCATTAAGTGGAATATCTATGTCAAAACTAAGAGACTACTTAGCGTAATAACATACAGACAGTAGGAGACAGCTCTATCGATTCAGCAAGAATCTATAATGTATTATTTATGGGTTTGAAGAAGTGACCCACTTTAAGGATTTTTTGACTCTCTGCAAGGGTTTAGAAATAATAAACGTTTGCTACTAACTAATCGCAATACGTTTTCTTTTCGTTATAATTCTTGTTATTACAATTGTATAGAAGAAGTAGTTAATATATATATATATATATATATATATATATATATATATATATGTTTGTGTGTTGAAAGAAATATTTTAAATGATTTTTGCTTTAATTAAGCTGTTGCATTTTACGCTTAACTAAATAAATTGGAAAAAAAAACTTAATTAAATTTGTAGTCTTAAAATTAATTTAATAGTGTGAAGACTTGAAAGTTTTTCAATGTTGAAATCTTCGTATTTCCTTTTTCAGCCTAATTTCAGCTTGATAAAAAAGTATATATAATGTTAATTATAATAATAATATTAATAAAGAAACACAATGTTGGTGATGACAATTATAATTATAATTATAGTTATAATAATAATGATGACAAAACGTTGCGCAATGTAAACACAAACAAAAAGACGATTTTCTATTAAGGCAAATTAGGGTTAACAGCGCCCGTTAAAAGGCAACTGTCGAAAGGCAACGCGAGCGCTGCTCAAAAAGTTAACATAACATAAAGCTGCTTAAGTCGCATCTGCAACGCGATTCGCGAGTGTGTGTGTGTGTGTGTATTGGGCTTCGGTTTTACTGTGTGTGTGTCGCGTGTCTCAGTGCCTAAAATTAAATTCTACGTTCTCTAGTTTCTAACGCTACCAAAGTTGTCGCCGCTTTGGCTTTTACATCAAAATTACCATTCAACATCAATTTTTTTTCTTTTGTGTTTTTTTTTTTCTTCTGCTGCTTACATCTTTAGGCTTAGTTTTACATTTGAAAATTTTTACTAAATTAAGTTTATTTAAAGGATTACCAGCCAGACAGCTGGAAAGCGGTTTGAGTGGTGGGGGAAGGGGGGGTGGAGCGCGAGTAGGATTTGAGATTTGCGGGCTGATTAATAGTTAATTATGTTAACAATGCTGTTGTTTATAATGATTTTGTTAATGATCATAATGTTGATGTTAAGTATCTTAAAATTAATTTAACAGCTCAACAACTTTCTCTCTCTCTCTCTCTTTCTCTCTCTGTTGTTTCAAACAATTGCGAGCTACGAGGAACGAGTGGATCGGGTTGGATAGGGAGGGGGCGAAGGGTGTGGATTTGTGGTAAGCAGCTGATTAGGTATAACAGTTGCACCAACAAGTGTGGTAGTTGCAGGGAGCTTACGTGGCGCTGCCGCATTTAAAACAAATCATAAAGCCAAAAAAAAAATAATAATAATAATATTAATAAACCTATAAAACTAATTGTTGTTGTTGTTGTTTGTCTAAGTGCAACATTAACTAGTAAATGCTACAAAGGGTGAACAGTTGCAGTTGCACTTAGGCGGCCGTATCCACCTCCTCGACTATGTGATTTGGGGAGACCTCGCTGGGCGGTGCCGTGTTTGTTGCTGCAGCTGCAGCAGCTGCTGCTGCTGTTGTTGCTGTTGCTGCTGTTGTGCTGCTGTTGCTGCTGTTGCTGCTGCTGCTGCTGCTGCTATGCTTTGCCTTGGCTGCCTGCGGCGGCGTCGTCACCAGTGCGCTTACAGCGCTATACTGGGGCACCGCCTCAACGCTGGACACTGGCGCCATGCCCGAGTTGGCATCGTACGGTGAGCTCTTTAATTTGCGCGCCTCACGCTTTTGCTTGCGCTGCTGCATGACCAGCCGCAGCTGGTCCAGCTTGGACTTGGTCTTCAGATTGGCCAGCTCCACGACGCACTTCTGGCACATGTGTTCCCGCTCCCTTTGGCCGTTGTCCTCGCCGCTGACCGTGCGATAGCGGCACATGCAGGCGCTCGAGCTACCAGTTGCTGTGGTGGCATTCGCGCTACTGCTGCCGCTGCTGCTGTTGCTGCTGTTGCCGCTGGCTGCAACATCTGTGCAGCAGCCGAGTGGGGTTGACTTGGTGCCGCAAACAGCAGCGACAGAGGATCCTCCCTTGGCCAAATAGTGGCCATTGCATTCGCCATAGGCGCAGCTGCCAGCAGCCAAAGCCGCCGCCGCTGCTGCTGCCTGTTGCTGCTGCTGTTGCGCACGGCTGTTGCACTTGGCGCAGTTGTGATGCTTCGTCGAGTACTAAAACAGATCGAAGTAATATGTTAATTTAATTCCGGTCAGTGAAAACATGAGAAGAATATTGAATATTTTTAATAATAGATAAATATTTAAATATCATCAATTTGTATTAAAATACCCCAATTCTTATTCCATATCTCGGCATTACCCAACACTGGCTCATCCACTATTCTGAGCAATGCAAAATACTAAAATTAAATATATATAAATATTACCCAACACTGGCTTTGCATTGATTCTCCCTCATTCCCTATTCAGAGCAATGCACAACAAATATATAAATAATTCGGATTCCCTCCAAAACTATTAACAAAACTGTTCTTCCACCGCTATGCAGCACATTTTGGATAAGCTTTGCAGAATAAATATTCTAACTTAGACAAAAGCTTAACAGATTAACTGTATTTTTCTATTTTATTTTTGATTTTAAGTTTCAGTGGTACTCAACACTGCCTTATATTAGCTTTTTTGCGTTGTACTTCTAGCGCTGCACAACACTGTTTTCAGTGCACTCTTGAAACTGTGAACAATGAACAGAAGCGTACTTCAAGCCCGTTGCTTAATGAGCACACGAACCAATCCCCAAACTGGGCCCCCAATCCCAATTTCGGGGTAGAGAGCAAACAGAGATTCGTGAACCTAGGTATTGGTGCAAGCCTTGGTGTGTTTCATTTTTATTAAATTGTAAAGACCTGAACTACTGAACCTCAACACAGGAAGTGGGAGCGATCCGTGAACTGAACTAGCGACCAAATGATTTGGGCCCTAATGGAGCGTCTCCCAGCTGCAGTATTTTTTGTTTGCCGGATTAATCCGATGTTCAAGTGAAGCAAGTGCCATTTGACTCGAGACTCACCAGCTTGCTGCGCACACCATGATGCATTGCACCAGCCGCTGCTGCTGGGGCTGCGGCTGTGATGGCTGCGATGCCATTGGCGGCACTGCTGCCGCTGCTGTTGGAAGCGGTTGTCGAGCTGGAGCTGGAGCTGGAGCTGGAGGTGGTGGAGGCGCCGTTGCTGATGCTGCCGCTGGTGGGTGCCTCGAAGCTGATGCGTGCGCCACGACTGTATTGGGGCGTGGCACTTAGCAGATCGTTAAGTATGTGGATGACAGTGGAAATGTCGCGCTTGGGCCGTCCGAAGCGATCCTGCAGCGCCGGATTCAGCGTGCCCGAGAAGGTGCCCGAGTATATGCCCTTGCCATGATTCTTCATTGACTCAATGACAGCGCCGGAGCCAGTTTTGCGCGGTGTCTCCTCCCCGCCGCCAATGCCGGCGCCGACGCCAACGCTGCCGCCGCCAGACAAATCGATCTTGTTGGTGAACACCTCTTTGGAGAGCTTGCGCAATGTCTGGGTGAGGTTGCGCGATGCCTCGGCCAGCGTGCGGGTATCCGACACAGCCAGACCGGCATCATCCAGCTCCGTGCTGCTAGCAGTGGTGACACATGCTGCTGCTGCTGCTGCTGCTGCTGTTCCACTCTTCGCGGTTGCTGCCTCTTGAGGCTTAAGCGCTGCTGCAGCAGCGGCAGCCGCAGCTGCGGCATGATGATAATGATGATGGTGATGGTGGTGGTGATGGTGATGCCGATGCTTGGAGCGTGTTATGGTAATGGGATTGTTGACAGTCTTGTGCAATGAGCTGTCTACGACGCAGCCGGAACCTGCAGATGCACGTGTCACAGCTACAATGTTGTTGCTGTTGGGACTGGGTTGCACAGTTGTTGGAGCAGCTGCTGTTGATGCTGCAGCTGGTGCTGCTGCTGCTGGTGCTGCTGCTGCTGTTGCTGCTGCTGTTGCTGCTGCTGGTGTGGACAGGCGCGTGCACAAGCACGAGGTGAGCTTGGCGGCTATCGGATCCTGCTGACAGCCACCGCTGGTGCAGCCAGCAGCGCCAGCTGCTGACGGTTGAATGGAGGAACTGGAGCTGGCAACGCTTTTAATGTTGATGTTGGAGTTGGAGCTGGAGCTGACGCCCGGGCCATGGGCAATGTGTATATTCTTAATGGCCGTCGTTTTGATTGGGCTCGAGACGAGATTGGAGAGCGACTTAATGGGCGACTGCTCCAACAACGGCTTTGACTGCGCCGTCGCAGTAGCCGTCGCCGCCGCCACAGTCGCTGAGCCGCCGGCTTGTATTGCCGCTGCTTGGGAAGCTGCGGCGGCAGCGGCCGCTGCTGCAGCCCTTGGCGCTTGCGTCAGTGCAATGCTCTTCACGATATTCTGTAGACTCTCGTAGTCACGCTTGCTTAGGAACGAGCTGAGATCGGAGCTCTTGATGGCGTGGTGTGCCTGGCCATGACCCGAACTACCTCCTGCTGCGGTCAGCATGCGGCTGCCTCCGCCGGCGCCAACGCTGCCGCCGCCACCGCTGCTGGAACGCTCCATGTCCAGTTTGCGTGTGCTGGATGCCATACCGCCAGCGCTGCCGGCGGCCACCGCCGAAGCGTTGTGGTGGTGATGATGGTGATGGTGATGATGGCTGTGGCTGTGCTGCAGACTCGGATGTTGGTGACTGTGCACATGGCCGTTGCCAATGCGTCCGCTCGCCAGCCGCTGGCTGGAGGAGCGCGTGCGCGTATGCGACGAATGGGAGCCGCTGCCACCTGCATAGCTGCAGGCCATGGCTGTGCTTGATGTCCCAGTGGAAGAGCTGCCGCTGCCGCTGCTGCTGCTGCTGCTGCAACCGGCGGCCAAGCTGTTGTTGCCGCTCGCCGCTGGCGCTGGCAGGGCAGCCGTCGCACCGGCAGCAGTGCCGCCTGCGGGATTAACGGTGCTCAACTGCAGCTGAATGAGCATCATGTGATCGCCCAGTCGCATGCTCAGATTAAGTGGTGTCTTGCCGCTGAGGAAGTCATTAACCTGCGAGTCGTTAAGCGATTCCAGCGCTTGCATCACTGTGTTCTCCGGACGCTGTGCCTGTAACAGAGCAAGAGAAAAGCCTAGATTAGGACATTGCGTACGATTTAATCAAATAGTAACTGACTATTATGTTAACTAACATTACTATGTAAGCTAAATTAACAGCATTAACATAGTAGCTATCTGTTACTTAACAGAAAACTTTTTATTCACTTACAGTCTGTTAACTCAAGCAAGTTGAAAGCGGCTAACAGTGCACTGTTAAGCACATCAACTAACGATTGACAAAGGAAAAAATATGTGAAAAACTCGTATTCAGGGTGTGTTTCAGAGTTTGTTGCGGCATCTTGACACTGAGTACAGAGCAGCGCCTAGTCGATCACTTCCGAATAGAACACTCTTACTTGTTTTTCCCCCGATTCCACCAACTATCCACAGGCAATTTGTTGTCGTACGTGACTCAATGCGATGCCTTTGTGCTATGATAAAGCCAGCAGCAACATTAGCAGCAAAAATGTTGAAACTACATCACATACCTTAGCTATCTTGATAAGAGATGTGTTATATGACGAAAAGCAGGGAGCGTATGCAATGCAAATGCATTCAAGTAACTTGAAATGCCATAACCTTGCCCAATCAAATCAAATTTAACCTAAGACTTTATAATATAATACAAAATCATATTATTATCAAGGGATTTTCATTTTTTAAATCCCATCAATTTCTTGGTTACACTATTTCTCTTGCATTCTCTCAATTGATGCACTCTCAGCCTCTTTTTTGAAGAAATATCTCTCAGTGAGTCTATCGTTAGCTCTAAAGTAATTCTGTAGCTCTACCTCGCACTTGCTATCTTTCAATCTAAATATCTCCCTTTCTTTATTTTTACCACTAACATTCTCTTATTTTATGTATTTCTATCGAACTTCGTTCCATATTATTATATAAATTCTTCTTTACCATATTAATATCTCTCTCTTTTCTCCCTCCCCCTCTCTCTCTTGCTCTCTTCTATTTTCTCTCTGTTTTTCTCTTTTTCATGTTTTCTCTCATTTTAATCCTAATATCTTCCTTTTCGTCCAACTCATTAGATCATTTTCCTCTCTCGCGCTCTTTCTATCGTTTATTTACTGAAGCTCTGTTTGACTTTATAGATGTCTCTTTCTTCTTTCTCTCTCTCTTGCTTTCTACCGTTATTTCCGTGTTCATTCTACGTTCTTACTCTTGTATCTATATGCCTTTCTTGCTGCTCTTATATAATTTTCGTCATAGCCGTTTATCCTGGAATTACTTTTTCCCTTACCCTTTCACTTGCTTTGCTTTTTATTTTTTCAGGTCTTTCTCGTTCTTCTTCTTAGTTGGAGTAAAGTACTTGCATATTTTACATCGCCAAATGCCGATTAGAGCTCCCAAATACAGTTTATAGGGGCTTTCCTAAGTAGTTTTTTATTTCTGGTGTTTTTTTGTTTTGTTAAGAATATGCAATTGTTTTTTTGATTTTTTTCTTTGCCCGCTTGTTCACCTCCAAGTATGTATATCTTCATATGCTGATGTATGCATGCATATGTACGTATATGTGTTTATTTTTAATATGCATGTTTTTGCATATATAAAATGTACATACTGACAAAGAAAGAAGGAAAACAAAAACAAAACAGAAAATCAACTGCTACAACAACAACAAATGCGACGTTGACAACTTTGAAGCTCGATTTGTATTTTAAAGGTCTGGGTTAATTAATCATTTTCATTGCAAACGGACATACAAAAAGATCGACTGATCAAGCCCCTCAGTATGCGACTTTGTGCCCCACCCCACCCCGCTCCCCCTTTCCCCACACAGCCACTCACACAAATGCGCTCACAATTGCAAGCGAACGTCCGTGTGTTTGTTTGTGTGTGTGTGTGTTAAATTTTTATTGCCTGGTGACACAGTGACCTAATATTATTTCAAAACTTTTCAACGCTTTTGTGCAAGACGAAGGGTTGGCCGCAGAGAGGAGATGGCTTTGGTAGCTGCTACTTTCCCTTCGCACATGGCCAAGGGCAGGGCAAGCGCCAGGGGTCGGGAGGGGGCATTTACTAGTTATGTAACTTATTTCAAAGTTTCTGCTTGGCAACAAACGAACATTTGTGCATTTTTATAAATTTCGTTCGACGTCTTCGAGGCCTATTGGCTTTTTAGCTTTGTTGCTGCTTCTGTTGTTGTTGTTGTTGTTGTTGTGGTTGCTGTTAAGTGTACCAAGGTCAACTGACGTCGCTGTCGCGATTTGTCGCCAGCGGCGCACGCAACTTACGTCATGCCGCAGTTGTGCGACGCGTCGTCAGTCGTCGAAATCGAAAATTTACAAATTTAAGCGCAGCAGCAATAACAACAACAACAGCAGCAAAAACAAAGGCGGCCAATTCTGTAATTTATTAGCTTTGTGCCAATTGTTTTGGCTTTTTAAAAGCTTTTGGCTCACGGCATTAGCTTTAGCTAAGTGTATGTGTGCGTGTGTGTGTGTGCGCGTATTTTGCGCTTCAAATGGCAACACAAGCCAAAACCTATTCAGCTAGCGCCTTGGTCATCTGCTTCGCCACAACTGCGCCCCCTCCGCAAGCCCATCACCCATCCATTCACAATAACTAAAACCATTTATGTATGTATGTCTCTGACTAGCGGTCACACTCGCTCGCACTCTTGCTGTCTCGCTCTCGCACAACCGGTTTACAACGGAAAAGCCGACACCGAATGCCGCTGCGCGTCCCACTAAGCCCGTTACGCGCATATTACAACAACAACAGCAACCGCAAAAACAATTAGCTAGAATAGCAGAAAGAACAAGAGAAAATAACAGCTACAACAACTGGCATTCTCATCGCATGCAATTTATCGGTAAACTAACCAAAAACGAAGCAAATACCGATCTCCCTCTCTCTCTCTCTCTCTCTCTCTCTCTCTCTCTCTTTCTCGTTCACTCCGTTGGTCTAGGGCTATACACCTATAACAAGCGTACTTTTTCGCTACTGCATTGCTTTTGAGTGAATCTATGTGTGTGTGAGAGAGAGTAAAAGAGAGTGAGAAATGAGATATGAAAAGGATTAAGTTCAAGTCAAAATCTAACTAGAAAGCGCGGCACGCCGAAGTTTAAATGCCCTTGCGGCTTAGAAGACTTTTTCTACCGACTGATTGCCCTAAAAAAGAGCAGAAATCTTTTTACAGGTCAATGTGCAGTTTTGTTATTTTGCAGCGACTTTCGTAGAATGAACAAAATAAAACAAAAAACAACAATACGAAGAAAGATGAAAATTTGAGGCAGTTCAAAGCAGTTTCAAAAAGATTGTTCTGCGTACATTTCAAATTTTTAATTACATTTTAAATGATCTTGTATATATTAATATATAAACAATTGCAAATTTTACAAATCTATCATTAAACAAACAGCAAAAGGTACATATTCAATACTCCATTTAACAAAGTCTTCAGTTGCTTCCTGAGGATTTTCACCCCGAGCCCTTATTAACTTGATGTCCACAAGATAATTTTGTATAACTTGAACTTAATAGTTCTTGTTAAATTTTCTAAAATATACAAAGTTAAACAAAGAAAAACAAAAAATAAAAAATAAAGCCAACATTCCATTGAATCCTATAACAAAATTTGCCAATACAGATGCATTGTACATTGTACACTTTTGTGATTCACATTCGATAGTTAAGCAAGTGAACGTGATAAACATTTGCTTATACTATAGGTTGGATTATCATAGATAAGATACGGTAAATATGCCGATGAGCAGAGATAGTTTGAATATGCAAGCGTTAATGATATTGGCAAGAATTAGGCCGAAAGCAAATAAATCGCAAAATTGCAAATAAGTTTATTTTTAATCTTACATTTTTTGCAATTTATTCACAAGCTTCTGCTCGCTGTCTACATTTGGCATTATTTTCGATTTGAATAGTTCTATTTATCGCTCTAATTGCCTTTGTTTGCCCCACAGTTTGCAAGGCATTGGACTTTGCACGTGCTCAATGCGAGCGCGATTTGAGGTGGTGGCTCGCTTTTCGAGTTGTGCGCAACTATACAAAGGCGGCGCCACTTGCACTTGACACAAAGCCACTAACAAAGTGATTCGCATAGGCGAATGTATGCGTGCGTGCGTGCGTTCGTATGTGTGTGTGTGTGTGTGTTAATTTTGGGGACAAAGCAAAATATATGTACATATATATTTTTTAGTTTCTCTTTATCAGTGTGTATGTGTGTGTGCGTGCGTGTGTTTGCTGACCATGAAAATATTTTTATTGCTTTGCTTTCAAAAACTGTGTTAGCCCCTCCGCGCAGCCCCATTGCCCGCACTCTAGTGGGTAGCCGCGATCCTCACATTCGCGCGAATAGGCAAGAACTGATAAGAACTAAGTACCTGGCCCACTCTTCGAGCGTCCCTTCGGTCTGGGCGTCACCCACTTCGTTGGAATTTATAGTGCATAAAAGCGTGACAACAAAAAGATAGAAATAGAAAAATAAAATAAAAACAAAAAATAAGTAAATAAAAAAGAGCAACCACAACAAAGGAGACGACAGCTGGCGCCATCGATCGCGACTGCTTGTTTGCCTCCGTTATCTAAGCAGCGGCGTTGACGTCGCTGTCGCCGTCGCCGACGCCGTCGACGCAGCTTTGCACTTGCTCAAACACAGTTTGAACGCCACTGACCGGCAACTGTTGCGAGCGGCTACGTAACCGGTTTTATTGGCTTGCCAATTGGCGTGGCTCGCAATGGGTCTAATAACAAAAATTAGCTTGTGCATGGTTGCAACACACACATCTACACACACACTCACTAACGCGCTTGCAACAATTAGCATGGTGGGGATGGGATTTGGAGGCACTAGCTTTCAGTCCAATTTGGAAACATCTATTGACAACAATTTACAAATGATCCAGTTCAATTGATTCTTTAAAGCAAACAAAAATTATGATTGCTTCATTAAAGTTTCATCATGCCGCGCTTCACTCCACCTCGTTTGTATTGCAAAATGAGTATTACCTTGTGTTCCATTCCATTTTGTTTCA